TTTCGATGAACATTTAAAAATTAAAACTAAAAAATGCAATTTTACTTACAATGGAATCCTCAAACAGGAAACAGGAGTGCATTTAACAAAATATGTATAAGACGTATATACTGAAAACTACAAAATCTTACAGCAAGAAATTAAAGAAAGCCTGGCATGAGCCTATAGGACCAGCTACTTGGGAGGCTAGGCAGGAGGACTGCTTGAGCCCAGGAGTTTCAGTATAGCCTGGGTAACAGCAAGATCCCATTTCCAAACAAATAAAAATAAAATAAAATAAAACTTTTAAAAATAGATATATCATGATCATAGATTGGAAGATTCAACATTGTTAGGATGTCAATTTTTCCCAAAATAATCATAGAGTCAATGCAATCCCAATTAAAATTTCATGAGACTTTTTAAAAATTAGAAATTGGCAAACTGATTCCAAAATTTATATGGAAACACAAATGACCTAAAACTAAAGCAATCTTTAAAAAGCAGCTATAAAGCAGGAAGACTTACACTACCTGAAGTCAAGACTTCCTATAAAGCCACAGTATTCAAAACACTGAGGTCATGATAAAGATAGACATTAGATCAATAAAACAGAACAGATTCCAAAGAAAGACCCAAACACAGACAATCTATTGTCAATGAAGGTGTTTAGGCAGTTGAATGAGAAAAGAAAAGTCTTTTCAACAAATGTTGCTCCAACAACTGGTATCTGTGTGGAAAAAAATCAACTTTCCCTCCCTAACTTGTATTACATATAAAATTAATTCCAAATGAATCACAGACCTAAGGTGTAGGAACTAAACCTTCTAGAAGAAAGCAAAGATATAATCTTTGTAATCTTGGAATAAACAGAGATACCTCCGTGAAAAGAAAATAAGGATTAATTACACTTTAGCAAAATTAAATATTAAAGACATAATTAAGGAAAAAGTCATAGCATGGAAGAAATCATTCAAAATACATAGATCGAAGAAATCCTATCTAAGGCCAGGCACAGTGGCTCGCATCTGTAATCCCAGCACTTTGGGAGGCTGCGGTGGGAGGATCACTTGAGGCTAGAAGTTCAAGACCAGCCTGGGCAACACAGTGAGACCCCATCTCTACAAAAAATTTAAAAATAAGCTCGTGATAGCATGTGCCTATGTCCCAGCTACTGGGGAAGCTGAGGCAGGAGGATCCCTTGAGCCCAGGAGTTTGAGGTTGCAGAGTGCCGTGATCATATCACTGCAAGCCACTCTGGGCAACGAAGAGAGACCCTGAATCTTTAACAAAAAAAGAAAAGGAATTCTATCTAAAATATAAAAAGAACTCTTAATAACTAAATTATAAAGGACAAAGAATATAATTTTAAAAAATGGGCGGAAGATTTGAAAAGATGCTTTATAAAAGAAGATATACAAATGGGCAATATAGACATGAAAAGACACTCAATACTTTTAACAATGACAAAACTCAAACATCAATGAAATATCACTAATACCCATTTAGAATGGCTAAAATGAAAAGGACGAACAATACCAAGTCTTGGTGAGGATGCTGAAGAACTGGAATTCTAACACACTATTGACGGGAATATAAAATGGTACAACCATTCCAGAAACCTGCTTCACAGATTTTTACAAAGCTTCCTATATACATAGAATCCTGCCACTCCGCTCCTAGGTATTTACTCAAGAAATTGAAAATATATGTCCACACAAAGACTTGTACAACAACGTTAATAACGCCTATATTTGTAATGGCCAAAAGCTTGGAAACTGCCAAAACGGCCATCAGCAGGTAAAAGGATACGAAATTGCTAAGTATACATGTCCATTACGATGGTATACTAGTAAAAAGGAATGAACTACTGATACATGAAATAACATAAACACATTTCAAAATCATGATGCTGAAAGAAGACAGACCCAAAAGATTATATACTATGCGACTCCATTCATACAACATTCTAGGAAACACAAACTACTCTAAAATGACAAAACATATCAGTGGTCATCTGAGGTTAGAAACAGAAAAGGATTATAAAAGGGCATGAGGAAACATTTGGGAGTACTTGCATCTTGACCCTCATAGTAGTTTCATTTAGTGTATATATCTGAGAAGACTCATCAAATTGTAGACTTTAAATCAGAACAGTTTATTATACATAAATTTTACAAGTTGTTTTAAAAATTACACACTAAAAATCTCATTTATGAAAAATTAAGAAAAAAAAGTCAAAATAAGTAATCCAAGAGTTTCCATTTAAATATAGGCCCATATATAACTGCCACAACGAACTGACAGTTCAGAAATTTTCTATTAGCAATTGCAGTTTTAAAAATTAAACTATTTATTTAAATACACTTATACTTAAATAGTCCTACTGGGAAATTCAACACACTCTGAGGTGGCCATACAGCAGATTTCATATATTTTACATTTCTATTGCCCTGGGGAGTAGGAAATACTCACTAACCACTCACAGGTTTTTCGCTTGTTTGTTTTTATAGAGATGAGGTCTCACTATGTTGCCCAGGCTGGACTCAGACTCCCAGGCTCAAGTGATCCTCCAGCCTCAGCCTTCCCCAAAGTAGATGGAACTGCAGGCGCACACCACTGCACCTGGCTCCCACTCACAGGTTTATTCTAAGTTGATAAATGCCTAATTGTTTTAAATCTATGCTATACTCTAAGAAAACAATAAATACTTCTCACACAACGATGTATGTATCTTTTTAATTTATTACTTAACAGAGCTGAAATCTTCTATTACTCCAGTGAAGTCAAAAAATCTCAAGAAATCAAAAAATCTCAAGATTTTTTCATTCACTTCACTTTTCATTAAGTGACTACAACTAAAACTCTTGTGAGTCAATACAACAATGAAGTACAAAAATTAAAACAGCACTAAACTTTCTATTCATCACAAAATAAGCACACAGTGTGCAGTCCTTTGGTAGCTAAATGTACCTGTATTACATAACTCAAGACACCTGAGCCATCGTGGGCTAGTCTAGACAAGAAGAATTTCAAGTTATGGAAAGGCAACGTCATGGAAACAAAAAATCATAAAACCAGAACCCTCTGGGAATGCTAATGAAACCTCCAGAAAGAACTTGTCACAAAGAACTGTGAACAAAAATAGCTGGAATTATTTCTGTACAGAAGCATGTTCTACAGAATTCTTAGAGGATTTGGAATAAAGGGAATAAATCATATAAATTCAGGAAAGTGCCAAAAATAGACATTTAATTAAATACGGCAAAATTTTCATTATTTGAAATTCAACTGATTAGCACAGTCATGAAAGCAAAATTTTTTTAAATAAAGCTTTTATACAAAAAATTCAGCAGAAAAAAGTCCCCATCAAAGAATTTCTTTGAATGTACACATACTTTTAAGGTATTCTAAATTCACAGACATTCACACCTAATCTACCAAAGCCACTGTTTGCAGGATCACCAACCTCTGAGTCTTAGCTTCCTCACCTGTAAAATAATCTCAAGGGTCCATTTTGGCTCAATCATTGCATGTTCAGAATAAAGATTTCTTATTTAAAAAACAAAACACTATCAATCACTAAGAAAGCACACAAATATGCTCTATGGTAATATGAAAAAACATTCAGTTATTCAGAGCACAGCATAACCCCAGCAAGGTCACGCCAATATTTTATGATATCCAAGAAACCAAATTAGACAGGAATAGAAATCTACCATATCACGCAGATATCTATGTTTCCTCGAAAACAAGCTGGGTAGTAGAAACTGTGTAGTAAAAAGATCCCTAAATCAGGAATGAGAATTATTTTCTTCCCTCTGTTAGGAGCTTTTGGGATTGTCAGCATGGAAGTCATCTGGCCTTTTTAAGCTTTGGGTTTTTATCTATTTAGAGACTGGAACAGATGATCATAAAAGTCCCTTCCGACTATAGTGACCTCTCTAGAAAAAAAAAAAAAGAAGGCGAGTGTGGGGTACGGTCTTAAATGACATTTACTTAATCATTAGAAGAGTTGCTCAGCCTCAGCCTCAGTATCCTATGCAAACATACATAACCATGTAGACTCTATCAATATATCAGAAATTGATTCTATAAATATTCATTATTACTTCTTCAGATTTGATGATTTCACATTAGTAATCAAACAGAGAGGAATTATTTCATGTAACTTTAAAATATATTAATCTGCCTATACAGCCTGATAGGATATAGCCTAAGGCCAAATAAAGTGTCCCCCCAAAAAAGTAAACTGGTTTCAGTAATCATATCGTTCGTAGTAGTGTGCTGTTATTCTGAGCTGCTATGAGATTAAAGCAAATGAGTAATTATGGTGGTATGCCATGTAACCAACTCAGTAACATTAGGCTCATTTGTTTCATTTTACTCTGGATTTCTAAGAAATTGTTATTTTTAAAACTTAATTTTTGTTTTATAATCATGTGAAATATTAACATGGTTCCAAAATAAATTCTATAAAAAAACAAGTTCATCCCCAAATAGTCTGGCTTCTTCCCTGTCCCTCTATGCACTTTGAAACACATGGTCTCAAACATAGTAAAGAAGGTTGAAAGCATAGCTCTGGATTCCAATCTTGAGTGTATGACCTTGGATTGTGACTTAATCTAAATTTATTTCTTCATGTCTAAAAAGGAGATAATAATAGAACCTACTTTAGACGAGTATTGGGAGGATTAAATGAGATCATCTACGCACAGTACTTGGCTTGTAAGACCTCTGTAAGTATCAACCACTGCTATTAGGATCTCATTTGAGGTTCACCACAATCCTACAGCAAAGACATATTAAGAAAGGACCCTGGAGGTGCCACTTCACTGGCCTGAGATTACAGCACCCAATGGCCAAGATCACAACTCATCTTTTGATCCCAGCACCATGCCACAGTGCTCGCTCCTGAGACTACTGGCTACTTCATGCTCCGTGCTCATCACACATTCCCTGCAGCCAGTCCAGGGAAAAAAGAACTGTCTTCTGACCCAGGATGACTTCAAGAGACTTACTGTGTTCAGCGCATTGAGAGTCGTGTCATCCCGAGAGGCTGCAACGCAGCCATCTTCTGTGGAGCCTCCATCGCACATCCCTGCAAAGGCCGCCATGCTCCTTCAGAGGAAAGGAAGTGTTTTTCCTTCATCAGTACACAGTAATATCAGTACAGAGACTTTCACCCTCAATTTTCAGAGTACATTCTCAGCCCAGACCAAATACCATTATTACCACGCATGATGAACCAGAGTTCTCAGTCCTGCCTGTGCTCTTAAAAAAAAAAAAAAAAAATCCTTTTTTAAAAATTCCTCTACAGGTAACCCTTAACTCACTCAGAAAAATGTTACTTTTAATTGGGTTCATTTATGTTATTTCTTCCCATGCTGTATTAGTACTAAGATTTTAGATTTGAGGGTATGAACAATCTAAATCCATTTGCCACAATACTCTGCTAGATTACAATTTTTGAAAGAAAAGTCTCCCCAAAAACATGTCAAATTAAGTCCTTTGAAACTTTATTTCCTCTCGTTCTATAGAGTGAACTACCTTTAGGTGAATTAGAAGTGAAAAATCAGAGATGAAAACCTCTTAGTCACTGACTCCACCTAAGCATTCTTATCGCTATTGTACACCACCGTGCAGAGCACTGCTGACTAGAAAACAGCCAAAGCTAAAATTTAGATGCCTTGATCCTTGCTTTAATGTTTTTTCTGTTGTATACCGTTGATGCTGCAGTGAGTCCCAGAAATCACTGAAGACAAAGGAAGGCTCTCTGCCTGCTCTAAGACACGAGAGGAATGGATTTAAACTTCTCTTTTGCCTCTCAGGCATTTGAATATTAGCAAATTCTATGGGATAATCACAGGTAAATGTTCTCATGTAGGTAAGCCACAAAAACGTCAAGTTCAGTTTAGACACCAATGAACAGTCACAAAGTACAGAGATAACATAAAATCTGTAATGGGATTTAAGATGGGCTTAATGACTCAAATTAACTCAGCTGGACTGAGAGGTATTGATAATTGCATGTGTGGCTTACAAGAAGGAAAAAATGACTTTACCATGATAAACTACTTTTCTCTGGCAATAAGGGTCAGGGCCCTGATTACAGAAGGTGTAACAAAACTTAAAGTCAGAGAATGCACAATATGTAATTAAAATCTCAGGAAAAAAGGAAAGTTTATTGCCTACTAATCAATTCAGATGGCCTAATTTGGAGAGCAGGATGGGGCGGATTCCTATTACCTTGCTGCCCTCAAGTACATAAGGAGGTCACAGTCATTAACTCCAGGCATCCAGACCAGTTCCTCATGTTGGGTCACTGTATCACCATCTGGAGAAGGAAATGGTTGCAAATCTGGAAGTTTGGCCTGTAAGACAGGGATGAAAACATCACAATCAATGAGTATATTATAAAAAGCTGTTTGGATTAGCAGTGCTTGAGAACAGATGCAATGGTTTACTGAGCCTCTTTCTTTGGACAGCAGAAAAAGAACAGCAAAACCATGAGTCACATAAACTGGCCACATATACCACGTGTCAGGATCATTTCGCCATCGAAGATTTCACAACAAACAGACTGCCTAATCTCTATTTAAGGAGTAGCAAACAGCATCAAAGTAAACCAATGCCAGCATGATCCAAAGAGTGAAACAGAAAGGGACACATGTGAATAAAATAAATAAAAATAGAAAATGTCTTAGGAGATAATAGCTACTTGATAAAGAAGGGAAACACACAAAACATTTCCAATATAACAAGTTTACAAAGAAGACACAGGCAAATAATAAAACCTCACTTAAGGATATTTGCCAAAACATTAGATGAACTATCCTATTACATTAGTGTTACACTCAAGACAGTCAATAGCAATACAACTCATGGTCAACATCAAAAAAAGAACAAATATTAAAGTTAACATTAAAAACATAGTTGAAGTGATCCTTGGTGATAGAAATCAGACTAGTGGTTGCTTCAGGAAGAGGAGAATTGCTTGTGATAAGGCAGGGAAGAACTTTCTGAGACGACAGAAATTTTCTTTGCCTTGATATGAATCATCAAGCAGACTGAACAGTATACGTAAGATAGGAATGACTCACTATACGTAAAGTATATCTCTATAAAAAGAATTCTTTAAAAATGTGAACAACAGAGCTCACCAACCAAGACTCTAAGTCACTAGATTCAAATACCTCTGGTATTTTCTCATTCTTACTCTGCTGGGGCAGAGCAAGAATAAGCAGGTACCATTACTACCATAACCATCAGAGACCTATGAAAAACAAACATTTGCAAGACACACATGTTCTTATCTTGTCAAATGGTGACCATGGGCACGTTAGTCTGATATTTTAAACTAAGAGCTGGAGCTAAAAAGCTCCATTGTACACAGAGCCCAGGCAAAAAATTTAAGTGAATTAAGCAGGCAGAGTATAAGGCAGTGCTGTCCAACAGAAATAAAATGAGAGCCACATACACTAACCCTCCACTGGTTGTTAAATTAATTAAAAAGTATTATTGTTGGGGAGTGGGACCAACACCCCAGCCCCAGAGAGAAATAGACTAGAAATATAATTAGACAATTTATAGAAAAAGAAATGCAAATGTTTCTTAATCATAGGAATTGATGGTCAAACTTGCTGACAACAGAAATGCAAATTAATGATACAGATACAATTTCCCATCTATCATATTGACATAAATCCCAAAGTTTGACAATGTATAAAGATATGAACAAAACAGCACTCATGGCTAGGTGTGGTGTCTGTTGCCTGTAAATCTAGTACTTTGGGAGGCCAAGGCAAGAGGACTGCTCGAGCTCAGGAATTTGAAACCAGCCTGGGCAACATAGTGAGACCCTATCTCTATAAAAAAAATAAAAGAAAAAAAATTAGCCTGGTGTGGTGGCACACGCCCATAGTCCCAGCTACTTGGGAGGCTGAGGTGGGAGGATTGCTTGAGCCCAGCAAGGCTGCAGTGAGCTATGATCATGCCACTTCACTCCAGCCTGGGTGACAAAGTAAGACCTTGTTCCTAAAAAATAATAAGTAAATAAATAAAATTAATGAAAACATAGCACTCATGTAAGCTGATAGAGTGAAATCAAAGTGGTACAATTCCCCTATGGAGGAGAATGTGCAATACCATCAAAATTACATATGCACTTGCCCTCTAAGCCAGCCATCCCCCTTCTGGGGAAGTATCCTGAAAATACACTGGCAAAAACATAAAAATCTATATGCACAGGTTATTCACTGTAGCATTACTAATAAGAGGAAATGACTGCAAGCAACCATATGCCCACCAATAGAGATTCAAAGAGTAACTGTTATATCTACACATGGAGTTCTATGAAATGGTCAAAGGGAATAAGAAGGAACTCTATATACTGTTATGGAGGAAAAAACACCAGGTTATATTGTTAAAAGAAGAAAGAAAGGTGGCAAAAAGTGTGCATATTCTGCTACCATTTATCTCAGAAGGGGAAAGAGAATAAAAATAATATTATTATTATAATAACAATCTCATAAAAACTCTAAAGCAGTGGTCCCCAGCCTTTTTGGCACCAGGGACCAGTTTCATGGAAGACAATTTTTCCACTGAGCAGGGGGCAGGGAGGATGGTTTTGAGATGATTCAAGCACATCACATTTACTGTGCAGTCAAATCTCTCTGCTAATGATGATCTGTATTTGCAGCCACTCCCCAGCGCTAGCATCACTGCCTCAGCTCCACCTCAGAGCATCAGGCATTAGATTCTCATAAGGAGCCGCAACCTAGATCCCCCGCATGCGCAGTTTACAGTAGGGTTCGTGATCCTATGAGAATCTAATGCTGCTGCTGATCTGACAGGAGGTGGAACTTATGCAATAAGGCAAGATGGGAAGCAGCTGTAAATACAGATGTAGCTTTGCTCACTCGCCTGCTCTCACCTCCTGCTGTGCAGCCCAGTTCCTAACAGGCCACTGACCGGTACCCGTCCTTGGTCCGGGGATCAGGGACTGCAAGCTCCAAGTTAAATGAAAAAAATGCACCTAACTATGTATTGAATTGGTTCCACTCTAGGAACTATTTCAAATAACTCTAAAACATACTAATGTGCCAGTACAGCCCTAGTGAGATATATTCTAGGGGCAAAACAAAATGTAATAGTAAACTGGTTTTAATAATCATATTGTTTGTAGCAGTGTGAGTACTGAGCTGTATATCTGTATTACGGCATTAAAGCAAACGTATAACTACGTTGTTATTATTAAAAAATGGGATCTGATGCATGGTAAAAAGATCCAGGTGAAAGAACAATAAGATTAATATAAAGCCTAGATAAAAATTTGAATTTGAATTAGAAATATCAGTATAAACTTACAATGTATTTTATTTTTAAAAAGAAAAGGAAAAAAAAAGCCTATTTCCTAGGCTTTAGTGTCAACTGAAAAGGCCTAGAAATAGTAACAAACTCTATAAGAACAATTATCTTAGCACCCAGTCTGTAAACACCATTTCCCAAATGAAGGCTCCTATGAGGAAAGTTTAATTCCAGACCTAAGGAAGGCAATGTACAAGGCGAGGCATAAAAATCACGTCATACCAGATAAAAGGGACCTACCAAAGACCACTGGGATTAAGTCGAAAGGACACACAGCAGAAAGATGCTCCTACTGGCCCAAAACAGATCATTTAATCACCAATAAGAATTGATTAAAATTGATTAAAGATAAGAAATAATTTAAAAGCCACTGGTGACCATTTGAAGATATTATGGAACCAGAGCATTATTTTGAAAACTAGTAAACACAGGGAAAGAATCAAGCCTTGCCTTTCCTATGTGATTTTCTAAGTGTTCTGGGGATCCAAATGGTTGATAAGGGAGAAGCTTCATTTATTCTGCAAATGAATGAAGGAATGATAGAATATCACTATTTTAAAATCCCTAATAAAATAATGGACCTAAGGAGCAATCAGGGACAGGCGCAATGGCTCACGCCTGTAATCCTAGCACATAGTGGCAGGAGGATCACTTGAGCTCAGGAATTTGAGAGCAGCCTGAGCAAGAGCAAGACCCCATCTCTACTAGAAATAGAAAAATTAGCTGGGTGTGGTGGTGTGCACCTGTAGTCCCAGCTACTTGGGAGGCTGAGGCAGGATCACTTGAGCCCAAGAGTTTGAGGTTGCAGTGAGCTATGATGACACCACTGTATTATACCCAAGGTGACAGAGCTAGACTCTGTCTCAAAAAAAAAAAAGGCAGCAAATAGTGGCTGCTAATTATTACTAATATCATCAGAAGATAGACATATTTGCCCCTGGTAGAAGTTTATACCACCACCATGAAGTATTCCTGCAGGAAGTAGGGCACCAAACTAGAATGTGATTAAACCTCCAGATTTAACTACTAATTCTCAAGACCTGCAAAGGACACGTAACAAGTTTAATGATACGTGAAGATTTGATCAGTCAAATCTAGACCATCCCTTAGGACAAAACACTCAGCTTCTTTTTTTTTTTTTTTGAGACAGAGTCTCACTCTGTTGCCCAGGCTAGATTGAGTGCCGTGGCGTCAGCCTAGCTCACAGCAACCTCACACTCCTGGGCTCAAGCAATCCTTCTGCCTCAGCCTCCCGAGTAGCTGGGACTACAGGCATGCACCACCATGCCCAGCTAATTTTTTTCTATATATTTTTAGTTGTCCAATTAATTTCTTTCTAATTTTAGGAGAGACGGGGTCTTGCTCTTGCTCAGGCTGGTCTCGAACTCCTGAGCTCAAACAATCCGCCCGCCTCGGCCTCCCAGAGTGCTAGGATTACAGGCGTGAGCCACCGCGCCCGGCCCACTCAGCTTCTTTAACACATACGTTGGGGAAAGGGAGGACCTATAAATTAAGAGATTTAAAAGACACATCAACCAAGTGCAATGACTGGCTCTCATGTAGATTCCAACTTGAACTATAAAAATATAAAGAGAGAAAGACACAGACAGACAACCAGGGAAATCCCAACATAGTAAACCCTTGAATATTAAGAAATTACTAATTTTTATTTGCTGTGATATATTGTGATTGTGTCTTCTAAAAGCACGCTTATCTTGGAATATCTACAAGTAAAATGATACATTTGTGATTCATTTCAAAATAATGGCAGAAGACATGTGAGGGAAAATACATGAAACAAGTTTGACTTGGAATTGATACTTGTGAAAACTGAGTAATGAGGAAAAGGGCTTTATTGTACTATTTTCCCCCTGCATTTGTATAGAGTAATATTTTTCCTATTAAAAAAGTAGAAATTTTTAGATGGTAAATGTTGCCAATTCATTAAAGTAGTACTGTTATTTTTGGTGCTCCAAAACATTTCCTTTCAAATATAAAGTATATAGAATATATTTAAAATCTGATGTAAACATTTGATTTTAAATGATAGTATACAAAAATCCAACCATAGTAAATATGCCCCTTTTCCAAGAATTTAAGCATCTTTTACTTAGGAACCACTTTTTCTGTTATGGTAGGAAAAAAATCTGTAAAATAAGAGTCTGGTACAAAGATTTCAAGACATAGGAAACATACAATGAAAGAAAAAAAACAGGTGGGAAAATACACTGCAAGAGAAAGCAGAGAAAGGGAGATGTAACTGAGTGGTACCGGGCACTAGATTCCTTGATTAAAAATATGGTACGCTCAGTGTACAGTGAAATGGGCTTATCTGGTACAGAGGGGTAGTCAGGCCCACCTAATAAATACACCGAGAAAAGGCTATACTTGAACAAAGCAGACATTAAGTCAAGTGTTCTCTTGCAGCTTCTTTCTGCCTGTATCAGTTACGACAACTCCAAATCTGGAATGAGAAGTATCTTCTAGAAATTATATGTTCCTGATGGTTTCTGTATTTTGGTTCTAATATCCCTTCGCTTCTTAATTTTTATTATGAGTTAAAATCGGTTCTCAAAGAATGTGAATGACATACAGGAAGTACTTAATATCTAGAAAGAAAAATGAATAACTAGACAGACTACCTCTATGCCCTTACAATGCTTGCTACCTGTATCTCGTGTACCTAGATATGATAGTCACAGTTGTTGACTCCCCAACATCCATTCCAACACAAACGATAGTCTATGTAAACCATGTTAAACCTGTTTTCCTCATGGTTTAGAAATGGACATATGACCCCATCCATGGCAATAAGATATGGGACTACTGGGGACATTTTGGGGAAATTTTCCTTGCTCCTAAGGGGAAAAGAAGGATGGTTTCTTTCTTCCTCTCAATACTTGCTGATTTCATTCATTGTAAGATCTATTATTATTTTATATGCATTTAGAAAGGATTAATATGGCCAATGAATTATAACCACACCACAGAATGTACAATGAAGCCCAACTTCACAGATAAAATGTGAAGGAAAAAAGAGCCATGGAGGACAGGTGAGAATCTCAGAGAAGCACAGCAGAGCCCTGAGTCCTTGCTGACCAGGATATCCTGACATGTGAGACATAAATAGCCACGTTGATCCAGTGTCTTGCCAAAGTATCCTAACTGATACTGACAAACAGAACAGTCTTATAAAACATGAAAGGGCACAGGTCATGACATAGCAAGCTTCTGACTGAAAAGTATCCTAACCATCTTGACTCTCTTGAAGGAAAAGAAGTTTTAAAAATCTTTTTTAATGAAAGTATGTAGTGACCAAACGTTCATCAATGGATGAATGGGTAAACAAACTATGATACACACATACAATGGATTCAGTCTCGAAAAGGAAGGAAATTCTTACACGTGTTATAAAACATGGATGAACCTTGGGGTCATTAAGCTAAATGAAATAAGCCAGTCACAAAAAGACAAATACAGTATGATTCACTCATAGGAGGTACTTATAAGTGACAGAGCAGTCAAATATGGAAACAGGAGACAAGATGGCGGTTGCCAGGGGCTTGCAGGAGTGGGGAATTGGGAGCTACTGCTCAATGGGTACAGTTTCAGTTTTGCAAGATGAACAGAGTTCTGGAGATGGATAGTGGTGATGGCTGCACAACAATTAATGTACTTAACACCACTGAGCTGTATGCTTAAATATAGTTAAGATGGTAAATTTTACATCATGCATATTTTACCACAATTTTTTTTAAAACTATGTGGTCATGTAAAAAAAAAAAACTGAATTTATACAAAATTCCCTACAGCAATAACAACAATTCTGAGATGCTGCTCAACAGACTACTAAGAAATAAAAACGTAAAGAAGCTACTAATATTTACTTTACCTGATGACTAGGACCAACACGGATTTCTCCCTGGGTACTGTTCAGCCTCCTGTCACGAACAGAGAAGATTAAGTTAACACAATATAGTTTTGACATAAACACTGACACATTTTTCAAGGAAAGTAATTCACTTCAAATAAATGAGGGATAACTCAAGGAAGAATTAGTTTCCTTACTACTTCTAATGTTGCCCTGTACATGTCCGCCACCCCATCTCTAAAACCTTTTCCTTCTAAAAACCTGATGATTGCAGCTTCCTGTCTATTTTCCTATACCATCATTCTTTCATGCCTCAAAGAGGCAGACATTAATTTAGTACAATCCCAGTCAGACATTTCTTCTTTTCAAAACCATTTCAGGGTACCCTACCATAAACCTTATTAAATATAAATGAGAAAACTTATGGTTCCTAGGACACACACGGTCATTCATCCAATCATTTATTCATTCAACAAATAGGTATTAAGGATCTACTAAAAACTAGGAATTGCCCTAGGTATATGGATAAAGAAATGAGCAAAATGCTGTCCCTGCCTTCTTGGAACTTATATTCTAATTGAGGGAAAATAAACAAACAATAGGTCAGATGATGATAACTGCCAAAAATTAAGTAGATGGTAAATGATGAAATATTATACAGGACTTATCTAATAATAAAGTAGAGCATGCACAGAGATGAAAAAGTAAGGGAATGAGCCCAGCAGGCACAGGAGGTGAAAGAGCTCCTCTCCCTTGTCTGTGCCACTCTGACTGCTCTTGCAGTATTCTCCCCTCCCTTGCTCCAAATCCCTACTAGCCAGGTTCCCTTTAAAAGCCATGATTTTCAAGAAGCCTTTCTTGATCTCCTGCCCATTTCACCCTCGTCCCTAAAATGTGTGGTGTCTTCCTCTTTTCATTCTTTCATAAAATATTTGTTGAATGTCTTTTTTTTGCCCCAGGCCTTGCACAGGGCACTGACTGGGTATAAAGTGGTAGAGGAAGAAATCCTGCCCTCCCCGAGTTCTCTAGTACTCGCCCCTGGAATCATGACTATCTGTGCGCTATCTTAGGAAAACCCTTTCTGTGCCCAGTGACAAGACTTTCTTGTATTTTACAGGCACCACCAAATTTTCAACAGTGCCAAGGAGATGGCTTTTAAATAGTGACAGCTGTTTGATGATAATTTGTTGACTTGGGCTGAACTGAAGAACATAACAAAGCAAAGGACCCAAGAGGAGGCACATTCTCTTGTTTTTCTCTCATGGATCTGATACCTATTCCATTATGTTTGAAACCGTTAAAATGAATTTTTGAAAAACTATTATTTCCTTTATGGCCTTTGGGTGCAGTACTTTCTTCTTTTAAAGCAACAATTTTTCTCGTGAAGAACCTTGTTTCAGCAAAGGTCGGTAGTAGATGTGACAAAGAAAAGAGTAATAAAAAAAAAGGAGGAGGGAGGATGAGGATGACGACAAAGACAACGACGTCACATGGTCCAGTCCTCAAGAATCTCACACACCGTCTCGCTGGGGAGGTAGCATCCACCCCCAAACACCAGAGTAGACCCGATCACTATGTTCATAAACATGAGACAGTTCCAGACAAACAGTACAAAAAATGCTAAGGGGGGTTATCAAAATTAGGCAGGTTTGGAGAGGAAACACTCGCTGGAGTGGCAGAGTTCTAAGAGACCTCTAAAGGAGATAATAATAAGCCCGAGAGCAGGGCAAAAAGGAGGACTTTCCAAGTGCGAATAAAATCACACAGAGGCAACAGGTCGAAAGAGAAGGGCTGTAGTGGGAGAGAAGTCTGCGTGAAGGGCTGACTTTCCTTCGCAGGTCAGCTCTGTTTCTCTAGTAGAGGAATGCCATGTTGAAAAAAATAAGCTGAAAGATGGATTGTTCTCATTGGCTTATGTAGGAATTATAACAGAAGAAGCTGTTTTAGGAGGTATGCTGAGGATTCAAATGAGCCAGGAGGCTATTTTAACGAGTACTTCTTTAAGAAAAACAAACACTCAAGTGTTACCACTCTTTCCCTTCCAACTGTCCCTTCCTGTTTCCTAACTAGCTCTGAGCAAAATGAGCTGCCCAAAGTTGCCTCCTTTATTTCTAAATACTTTCCAAATGCTTTCTTGCCTACAAGCCGAAATTTATCATCTTCAAAAGCTTCAGCCATAGCCTATCCAGTACTTGTGCCTACAGCTCAAATTTCAGGTTCTTCTAGAAGGTGTTATTCCAGAGTTCTCATGTGGTAGATATGGATTCGTTTCCACATCACTGCTATGTAAGTCCCTGACAATCCAGGACAAACACCCCTGGTTCATTTTTATTTTAATAAGCCAGTATTATCACAGTTAGCTCAAAATATAATGTGTCATGATAATAAAATAAACCCCCTTTACTTTGTTGCATGAAACTTATATCCCACTTATTTCCATAAAAATAGGAGGCAAATAATTATTAATATACTAATAATGATACAAGTAAAACAAAAAAAATGTGTTGGGGTATTTTTATAGACTAAACTGAAAACTGTTTCTCTAAGTTTATATCAAGAAAGAATACTAATAAGGTAAATAGGTTATAAAACACAAAAGTAAAACAAAGAAACTTCTTAAAAGCTTGTTTAAAAATCACCCTTTATGACAAAAGTATTCTAAAATCATATGCAACTTTTAAATATCAGGGTTTTGCTGCAAGGAAAACAACAAAGTTATTTTTCAGCAGGATTAGGATCTGAGGTGCAGACGATGGCATTAGCCTACCATATCCAGGAACTACAGAACATAGAATAAGGGCAGAAATACTTTTTAAGTCCACAGTATAAAAAAGTACGTAGCAACATATCCCATGAGAGAAAACGGGATGCATCTGACAGAAAAACTGTCAGAATATGAACCAAAAGTGAAAGGCAAGAAGTAGGCTCGATGGGCAACTGCCGGCATCCGGCTGTACCTGGCATCAACTTAACAATCAGAGTCCTCCTCCCTTTATTAAATATTCCGCCCCCGCAGCTGCCCCTTACCGCTCCCTTCTTGAACACGGTCTTTGTGGTTCATATCTCACTATTAGGAGACGATATTCTACTCTAATTTGGACGTCTCATACCTCTATCTCCTCCGGGACTGTAAACTTCTAGAATACAGGAATTAAGATTTAATCCATCTTTTGTATCCCCTAGGATCTAACACAGTACCTGCCTATGCATTCAGGAAGAATTAAAAGTTCCTTGGTTTCATGAATATTTCTGGACTATCAAAGTGTAAAACTTGACAAAATTCACCAGAAATTAATATTTAAACATAACGTCAACAGCTTATAGGAAACACTCTTAATCATCACATGATGAATTACTACAACGTGCCTATTACTTAACAGAAATTCTCAAACGTTTAGGTCTCAAGACCCTTTTACACTCTTTAAAAATTACTGAGGCCAGCTGTGGTGGCTCATGCCTGTAATCTCAGTGCTTTGGGGGGCCAAGGTGGGGAGGATCACTTTAGGCCAGGAGTTCAAGACCAGTCTGGGCAACATAGCAAGACCCTGTCTATACAAAAAAATAAATAAAATAAGGATTTCAACAAATTTGTTTCGGAAAAATCTCAAAATGTTTATTTGATTTAAAAATAGCAATAAACTCATTATATGATAACATGTAAAACATATCATTATTAAAAGTAGTTGTATTTAAACATAAAAACAGTGAAAAATAGAGGCTTTATTTTAGTTTTTAAAATCTCATTAATATCTGACTTAATAGAAGACAGCTGGATTTTCTGATACACTTTTACATTAAATCTGTTGCAATATGTTATTTTAGTTAAAGCATATGAAGAAAATCCAACCTAACACAGCTATTTAACTGGAGAAGGTAGCTTTTTTGGATACTACACCAAAACTCAACAAGTGATAGTTTGATAAAGGTTTGTGCACAATGTGAATAAGCTTATGAATAATCTTTAAATTCTGTTACATTAAAATCCACTGGTCTATGTTGCCCTTTGAATGGATCTACTCAGACATGATTTTGTAATGTCATGCATTGGTTACATGGAAAATACTGGCTCACTAAGTTTTGTGGATCTTTCAAATATCGACAGAGTTCATCATACAGTATTTTTAAAAATTACACTCATTAATATCACTACCCATCTCATACAAAAATCCTTTAAGTGTAGAGAAGCTGGCCGGGCGCGGTGGCTCACGCCTGTAATCCTAGCTCTCTGGTAGGCCGAGGCGGGCGGATCGTTTGAGCTCAGGAATTCGAGACCAGCCTGAGCAAGAGCGAGACCCCGTCTCTACTAAAAAGAGAAAGAAATTAATCGGACAACTAAAAATATATAGAAAAAATTAGCCGGGCATGGTGGCGCATGCCTGTAGTCCCAGCTACTCGGGAGGCTGAGGCAGTAGGATCGCCTGAGCCCAGGAGTTTGAGGTTGCTGTGAGCTAGGCTGACGCCATGGCACTCACTCTAGCCCGGGCAACAGAGTGAGACTCTGTCTCAAAAAAAAAAAAACAAAAGTGTAGAGAAGCTACACTTAGTGGTACAACTTTTCCAAAATTCTAATTTTACTTGAAAGTTCAAATTTTAGCATTGGCAAATACTATCAGTAGTCTTCCTTGAAATGACAGGCTCACTTCACTCATTTTCAAGAAAATGTCTGCCAAATAGCCACGTCTGAATGACCACAGTTTATCTGTCAGTTGTTCTTTCAAGTAGAAATGGTGCTCCATGAAAAAAGTGGGTAGTTCCATTTCTAATTCAAATGACTTGACGGCACAGGGCTTCTCCTCAAGACAGTCATCGTCCTACGGTATGCAGCAGGAGATTTTTACGTCACTCTCAATTTCATCATAGAGTATTAAAAAGACAGGAAGTCAACGATTAGGATTTAATAAAAATAATAACAGGGTCCACAAACCATGGTTTGAGAAGCACTGATTATGATGTATCTGAGCTTTAGAAAATACTGCAAGCTAAAATTCCAAAGGCTCCTAGTCTAGAAGATGCCAGGTTCATTCTTTAATTAGTAACAACAGTAGCTAACATTTGAGCACTTAATATCTG